CAAACAAATGTATTGTGTGTGTAAGAAAATGTGCAAGAAGTGAAATTATCTTCATATTTTCGCGAAAAAGTTTTGAAGTGTTATGAGAGAGACGGATTTTCAACAGTGTGTTGAATTCGCACAAAATTCGTCTGTGTGGAGAGTGATATGTTATTGTTTGTAAAACAATGTCATAGTCCAACTTCTTATTATTCTTTGTTTAATACTTTCAAATATGTATACCCTACATTTATATAGTTTGATACTTTTGTTTCTATAATAATGAATTAATTAACCTTGATCTTTTTTTTTTTTGGCTTCTATTCATCTTCTGAAATCAGTAATGTATAAAACCAATTTTGGATACTTCAGTTTGAAGTGAAGAATATCCAATAAATAGAGTTCTTATCGATCGAATGCAATAGGAGGTGGACTAGATAAGGTATAGATTAGAAGCTTAATGGGTCAAAATTTCCTAATCTATTTCTAACTAGTTTCTCAGGAACTCGGTATAGTTTCCCTACGATGGTGCAGGTAGATTTTAGATAGAGCTTCTGAAAGTTAGTTAGTTGGTTAGTTAGTTAGTTAGTTAGTTAGTTAGTTAGTTAGTTAGTTAGTTAGTTAGTTAGTTAGTTAGTTAGTTAGTTGTTAGTTAGTTAGTTGTTAGTTAGTTCGTTAGTTAGTTTTAGTTGTAGTTAGTTCTTAGTTAGTTAGTTTAGTTAGTTTTAGTTAGTTAGTTTTCGTTAGTTCGTTCGTTCGTTAGTTCGTTATTCGTTCGTTCGTTGTAGTTCGTTCGTTCGTTCGTTCGTTAGTTCGTTCGTTCGTTAGTCGTTCGTCGTTAGTTCGTTCGTTTGTAGTTAGTTCGTTCGTTCGTTCGTTCGTTCGTTCGTTCGTTGTTCGTTCGTTTCGTTGTTCGTTCGTTCGTTCTTCGTTCGTTCGTTCGTTCGTTCGTTCGTTCGTTCGTTCGTTCGTTCGTTCGTTCGTTCTTTCGTTCGTTCGTTCGTTCGTTCTTCGTTTTCGTTCGTTCGTTCGTTCTTCGTTCGTTCGTTCGTTAGTTCGTTCGTTCGTTCGTTCGTTCGTTCGTTCGTTCGTTCGTTCGTTCGTTCGTTCGTTCGTTCGTTTTTCGTTCGTTCGTTCGTTCGTTCGTTCGTTCGTTCTTCGTTCGTTTCGTTCGTTCGTTCGTTCGTTCGTTCGTTCGTTCGTTCGTTCGTTCGTTCGTTCGTTGTTCGTTCGTTCGTTCGTTCGTTTCGTTCGTTCGTTCGTTCGTTCGTTCGTTCGTTCGTTCGTTCGTTCGTTCGTTCGTTTTCGTTCGTTTCGTTGTTCGTTCGTTCGTTCGTTCGTTCGTTCGTTCGTTGTTCGTTCGTTCGTTCGTTCGTTCGTTCGTTCGTTCGTTCGTTCGTTCTTCGTTCGTTCGTTCGTTCGTTCGTTTCGTTCGTTCGTTCGTTCGTTTCGTTCGTTCGTTCGTTGTCGTTCGTTCGTTCGTTCGTTCGTTCGTTCGTTCGTTTCGTTCTTCGTTCTTTCTTCGTTCGTTCGTTCGTTCGTTCGTTCTCGTTCGTTCGTTCGTTCGTTCGTTCGTTCGTTCGTTCGTTCGTTCGTTCGTTTCGTTCGTTGTTCGTTCGTTCGTTCGTTCGTTCGTTCGTTCGTTCGTTCGTTCGTTTCGTTCGTTCGTTCGTTCGTTCTTTCGTTCGTTCGTTTCGTTCGTTCCTTCGTTCGTTCGTTCGTTCTTTTCGTTCGTTCGTTCGTTCGTTCGTTCGTTCGTTCTTCGTTCGTTCGTTCGTTCGTTCGTTCTTTCGTTTCGTTCTTCGTTCGTTTCGTTCTTCGTTCTTCGTTCGTTCGTTCGTTCGTTCGTTCTTCGTTTCTTCGTTCGTTCGTTCGTTCGTCGTTCGTTCTTTCGTTGTTTGTTTCCGCCCTTTTTTTCAATGTTGCCATATCATAAACGTTTACAAACGTGTACCTTCCTTACCAAAAATAAGAACTAAGAAGTACATGACCTTTAGCTAAGATTAAATACACTTCTGCCAAACATATCCCTTTTAGTAATAAGGTCCTTCAACTTCAAAATACATTAATAAATCGTTTTATGTTACACGTTCGTTTACACAATGTTTTAAATAATATAAACATGCATGCGAAAAACAGCGTATAAGCCAGTTGGGAAATTTTACGGTAGACAATACAAACGGTATAAAATCTAAGAATTAAATAATTTTTATATTATTTCATATATATGTATATATGTATATGATAGTATATTGCTGTTCAATATTTTTGTTAAATCTTGTAGCCAAAATTAGTAGTAAAATTTTACTGAATTCAAAGAATATATTTAAGTTAACAGACCACTTAAAGAAGAAAACGATAAAAAGAATAATGGTCTGTAAGTCCTTATTCAAGCCATGCTTCAATTGAGAATTTAGTTTTCAATTCCATAACATTTTTTCTTATTTATAATACTTCGATACAAAACAAGTATTTTACCTTTTAAACACGATAGCAAAAAGGTACATTTTAAAATGTTGTCTTTACAAAGGAAAATCATAAAGTTTCACACAACGACCAACTTTTTCAACAAAATAATTCCGCTTAAAGTTAAGTGTGCCAGAAAAAAAGAAAAATCAAATGAATGTAATATTTAAAACCATTGTCATGCGCTCTTAAAACTTGTAGAGTTTGGCAAACAGTAAAAAAGTAAGTTTTAGAAAAAAGTTAAATAAGCTGTTTTGTTAACAAAACAAATATTTTTAAAAACATTGCCAAATATATTTATCTCCTGTCTGCATTTATATATTTTGCATACAGATATTTGTATCTACCTATACATATAAATAATCATAAATTCCGGCAGTTCGGGGTATAGTGAGAAAATTTATGGTTTTAATAAAAATAGGCAATTTACTATGCACTTCTATGTCTTACATTACAAATGCATCTAACCAACTCCGGATCATAAAATTTGAGTTAATCAGTATTTGGGAAAATATTTTTGCAAAAAGGATATCCTATTTCTTTATCAAACTACAGGGCTGTTTGCCTATGTTTGCTTGTACTTCTGTATACAATATTTGTAGAAGAGAAAAAAATCTAATTTAAATTTTAAAACACCTGAGTTTTAAAGGTGAAAATTGCAAAAATACAGACAAAAATACAGTTTAAAAAATTTTTCAAAATATGATTTAATTTGAAATTTATTTAAAAAATTTGCAAAATTTTAAAACCAACAAAAGTACACTAATTAATTTATATAAAATTCAGCGGCAAACATTTTAAACTATATTTATAGAAAATTATAAACTGTTATAGAATAACAATGGATCTTTTCTGTGAACTTTGTTTTAAATCCGTATAAAAATGTGAAGTAAGAGTGTTTTGGAAACTTCTATAATAAAACACAAAAAAAAAGTTTTTTACCAATTTTATTTCCTAGGGCGTATTAAACATGTGCCAATTGTAGTATTTTACCGCGTGTTTAGTTTGTTTTACAAACACACATTCAAATGTACACATGCCGCATGCCATTTATTCACCACTATGTACAAGGACACATAAATATTGTAATACGGAGAAAGAGAGGACAAATAAAACCAAAGGCAAAAGAGCACATAAAGGAAATTAAAAAAATACTGAGAGAATATGCGTATATGAAGATAGTTCAACAGACATACATAAGTCTACATTTAATTAATTTGAAATCTCTTTTTCTAGTTCAGTTCTAGTTCAGTTCTAGTTCAGTTCTAGTTCAGTTCTAGTTCAGTGCTAGTTCAGTTCTAGTTCAGTTCTAGTTCAGTTCTAGTTCAGTTCTAGTTCAGTTCTAGTTCAGTTCTAGTTCAGTTCTAGTTCAGTTCTAGTTCAGTTCTAGTTCAGTTCTAGTTCAGTTCTAGTTCAGTTCTAGTTCAGTTCTAGTTCAGTTCTAGTTCAGTTCTAGTTCAGTTCTAGTTCAGTTCTAGTTCAGTTCTAGTTCAGTTCTAGTTCAGTTCTAGTTCAGTTCTAGTTCAGTTCTAGTTCAGTTCTAGTTCAGTTCTAGTTCGTTTAGTTCGTTCTAGTCAGTTCTAGTTCAGTTCTAGTTCATTCTAGTTCAGTTCTAGTTCAATTCTATTTAAGTTCTATTTAAGTTCTATTTAAGTTCTATTTCAGTTCGATTTCAGCTCTTTTTCAGTTTCAGTTCAGTTCTTCTTCCTTTATAGTTCACTTATATTTTAGTTCTAAACTGAATTAAATTTTATTATCTCAATAAAAACACGCATATTTAGTAAAAAACTCTTTAAAAATTATAAAAAATCCCTATTTAACAAAACAAATATTTTTTGCGTCGGATTTTTTAAAATATATTAGAAATTTTTAATGAAAATATTTTTATAAAAAAATGAAATTTCGGTAACAGTTATATTTTTAGTGCAATATTTTTTTTAAAGAAATTTTAATTTTAAAAATTTAGTTCTCTTTTTCATGATTTTTTCATAAAAAAGTATTTTAAACAAAATTAAAATTCAACTGATCAATTTTAAATTCTATACAAAGGAACATTTCTCATTATAATTCTTTTTTTCCAAAAAAAAGCACTTTATCTTCGTCTTCCCTTTTATTTTCGTACGTACGTACTCTTCTCTCTCCTTTTGTGCTACAAAACAATAACAAGCTTTTCCGTTTTCCTTCCACACTCCCCTTTTGTCACTTAATCCTTAGAGCCATAATGTCTGTGGTGAATTTTTGCCTGGTTACAACACGTTATAAGAAAATCGAAATAAAAACACAGATGCTGGATAACAAGTCAGTCAGTAGTAACAAAGTTAAGCAACGTTCAACATAAAACCTAAATAAGCGGAAACAATTTAAGGAATAAATAAATTATTTAGTATAAGAAATAAGAGAAATTGAAACTTGAGACCAAAAAAAAAAAAAAACAAAAGACATAAAACATTAAGCCCATTAAAATATATACAAAATTTGTATAAAAAGTGCTTTAAGCCATAATATTAAAGGAAATTAAAGCCAAAAGAAACTAAATCTAAAAAAAGAAAAAACAAAAATATATAAAAAGAAATTAAAATAACAACAAATCATAATTAAAAAGTTTTAATTTAAGCAATTTTAAGCAAAACCCCAAAATAATTAATTAAAAATACAAATTTCATTTAATAGAAAACAAAATGTGTTTTTAAATAAATATTGTTCTTTAAGTGTTTTTAGATAATGTGTTATGTGTTTGATAAGTGTTACATATACAGTATTTATGTTTAAGGTTATTTTAAGTAATTAACAGTTTTTCCCAAAATAAACGGCAACAAATAGAGGTGAGTAAAATTTTTTATTGATTTTTAAATAAATATGCAGTTATGCAGAATAGTATAAAATATTTTGATTAATATTTAATTAAATTTCTGTTGAAAAAAATTAAAAATGTTTAAAAAAAATGCTCGTTTCTTTGGAAACCTCCCGGCGTATGATTAATACTCTTTAACCAATTACCCGCACAATGTGCAACCGTACGTATGATTGTTATTTAATATTAATTAAAACATAATCATCATACCAACTGCTATGAACAATTTCATTGCTGTAAGCTTCACTGCATTAAAAATTGATGAAGTTTTGTGTGTGTGTCTGTGTGTGTATAGCAACAATTTCTCTTGCCAAAAAACTCTTGCCACTAGGATGTTTGCTAAAAAGAAATATTTCCCCAGTATTTAGGCCAAGTTATTAAATACTTATGGTAAGGGGGTTTATTCTCTTGTTTTTTGTTTCAAAGATTTAATATATATTACCACAATGTTTTATGGACATTAAACTTTTAGCCTCATTTATGGCAACTTTTCAAAAAACAAGTAACATTTTCAAGAAAACAAATGTATAAATATTATACATTTTTATTTTCTTTTAAAACAGAACCCCACAAAAATTTATGTATATAAAACGTGAGATTTGTGGAATTGATAAGAGCTTTAGTTGACGTTGTTTTTTCAACTGTAGAAGTAAAAAGGATAATTAATTGTAAATAAGTAACAGCATCATGTGCTTTAATATATTAGATAAATGTACCTTTTCCGTTTAATGACCAGTAATATTTATTAGTTGGGAAAGAATTTAATATGATTATACCCTACACCCCTATAGTTTGGAAGATATTATGGGTTTTTGCTGATGATTGTGATGCATATAAATATTGGCCATACAACCAACTTAATCTATACCAATTGGGCCAGAATAATTTTCTATCCGTCCGTCTGTTCGAGATTGGTTGTAGACCCTCGGAATTGCCATTTAGTCCCAGATAAATTCTACGACTATCTAGCCATGTCCGTTTTCTGTTGAAAGCACGATAGAGACCTACATCCAAAAGGTCTATAAGGTTTTTTTTAGTATTGAAAATGGGGAATATTGGTCAGCGATTTCACCTAGCCCCCATACAAGTGGCAGCTTGAATACAGTTTAATGTGTCATAAATAAGTTAATTAGGCAGAAATCGTGATCAAATTATTCAAGTTAGTTTTATGCACCTAGGTACCATTCTGAAAATGTCTTTAATGCTCATAACTTATCACTACAAATTCATGTGAAAATCGACTGATAATTAACCCAATTCCCTTTATAAGATCTTCTTCAGAAAATGACTTTAACGCTATAAACTGTCTTAATAATAGCAGTATATTAGCTATCTCTCACATATACAAACTCTGACTCCTAAGGGACATCGGTGTCCTAACGGTTCAATTATTTTTTTCTAAATATATAGTGTGTTATTAAATTAACAGCTTCACAAGCCCGTTATTTGTTTTATATTAGATTTGATAGCAAGGTCAATATGTCTCTATTTCTTATGATTTCCTTAAAAAAAAGAGAAAAGTTCCTATTTTCTATTCACTGTTGTTTCACCTCAATTAGATCAACAAAAACCACAAGCATTACTTTTGACGTTGTATCTTCTTCCTATTTGTAATATGTCCTGGTGGAACCATTCGCCATGTCCATTTGATACTGCACCAAGATTTTTAAAATTTAAAATCTTGATATGTAGAGAGCAGTTCTTGAATTTTTACAGTTCTCAACTAGCGAGCTAAGGCTCATTTTCTACTTCATTAAGCCTATTTTAAATACTTCATCCTTTATGAGTTTAAGTATTTGTGGCTCTACAAATATTCTCTCTACTTTTGAGATTACTTGCTGACTATGGTACCTCATGCGATGATGATATATACATCATTCGATGGAAAATTACGATACTTATTAAATCATATTTTAAAATTTTCTCATCATACAACTATTTTTAGTCGATCCTTCATGGATATAATATGAGCTATATTTCTCTAGAAGTGTATCCAACTCTTTTGAACAGTGTTGAACAAATATCTTATAAACTTTACAATTATTATCCGAATGGATACAAAAATAAAACTAAAAATTTCATCATATTTTTCATGTTTTTGAACTTTAAAAGTTATTACTGACAGACGGAGCTACCTATGGTCTCAAAAGTTTGTAGTCTTTGGCTGATGTCAGAGTGCCTGCTACAAGCTTGCCCTACAAACTTTTGTTTGTGTTTTCTCGCATCAAGCTTCGCTTTCACTCTGACATGATACATAGGAAAACACAAGGAAAGGTTTTGTAGCGCAAAGCTTCGCATTGCTTGTAGCAGGCACTCTGACATCAGCCTTATACCCTCAAAAAAAGGGAATTATCAACAATTGTGAAGGAGAAGAAATCGAAAGTAGACTCAGCTTGGTAATATCATTCATTGTACATAAATATTTTGTTAAAGGAGTGTTTCATTGCAGACCAGTGTAATTAAGTAAACGTCGGAAGGATTTAGCTGATTTTTCGAAAGTATGTCTGACAGAATTATATAATATTTGGATCACGAAGATAATGAGATCTCCGGAAAATTGATTTCAACAGACAGACGGACATACAGGCAGACGACAGACTAACAGACAGGCAGACGGACAGACAGACAGACAGACAGGCAGACAGACAGACAGACAGACAGACAGACAGACAGACAGACAGACAAACAGACAGACAGAAATACAGACAGACAGACAGACAGACGGATGGACGTACAGACGAACATGGCTTAATCGACTCCGCTAGTTATAAGGATTCCAGAATATATAAACTTTATAGGGTCGGAAAAATGTAAGTTCAAATTGAATACAGACTTTGGATTAGTAGCATCTACATTGTCTTTGGTCTCAGATGGCAGATGTATATGGAAAAAAATCCGCTCGAAATACAAGTAGAGAAATAATGTAATAAAAACAAGTTTTTTTTTTTTTGAATTTGTACTCTCCAAATTTCATAAACAGCCGCTTATATTTTATATTTTATGTTGACTGTTGTCTTGTGATGAAAATTTTTCTGAATAATTTCAAGGAGATTCATTGATTTAAACAAAAATTAGATGAAAACTATCATTAGAACTTAACCACCAAAATCCTTTTTGACTTTCACCTTAACAGAAGTTGAAATGGTCATCCCCACCATTTCCCGGTTATATTGTATAATTTGTGTATATCATGTTAATTTAAAATAACAAAAAATACAAACGTCTCAAACTAAATTATAAGAAGGAAAACATTTGTTGCTTATATTCATATTATTGTTATTATTAGAGCCTTATACATATTTTGTTTATATTTTATTATTAAACAAATACACAGACATTCAACTAGATACAATACAAAAGTTGACAGAAACATGAGAAAATATATTCCAAACAAAAGAAAGAAAAGAATTGTTAACAACACGCAGACACACATACACTGTAGAAAAATGGTTTAACACTTATACACAGAATAGGTTTTTATATAAGGAAGGATTCGTGTTATGTATATGTATTTATAAGAATCTCTGCTGGCTGTATTAAGAAAAATGTCTTTTAACCTTAAACTGCCGTTGTATGAATACATGTACGAAATGTGTATGTTGACATATTTAAGAAGGACTGACATTCCTTTGTGTTCGTCTTGTTAATATATATTGTTATTGTTGCTGCCACTGTTGCCGTTATTATTTTAAAAGAACTTTGACTTTTCTTTCGAGAAGCATGTGTTTTAAAAATTTATGATATTTTTTACTTATTTTTTTTTAAATTTACTCGTACCCTTGTATGAAAATTTCTGCAGAGTTTTCATAAAGCTCAAATATTTGTTAAGTAAATGTTCATCTTTTATACCGCCCTTTATATCTGCACAAATAAAGGAAGGTAAACATTTGTACTCACACATATACATCTAAACAAGTTTGTGTACGAGGACAGAACGAGAAGGTTTCATAAGAAATTTTATTTATTTGAGGATTGTAGAAATCGTTTGATTTCTTCTTTCTATAGTAGTATTGGACATTTTAAATAACTTTCAAAACGGCCTTCTTAGCCTAATAATATTTCAATTTCATTCTAACATTATACAGTTTAGTGTTGAAAAAGAAACGAAATATGGCAACAAACTACAACAAGAAATAACTATGTTTAAGAACACACTTTGACCTTTAGAAACCAACACAAAACAACACAGACACACACAATCTCAATAAAACAGGATGTTTAATATTCCAAAACAAAAAACACCTGCAGTTGTAAACGAAAAAAAAAATACCAAATGGGAAAACAAACTTTTGTTAGCAAAAATCCAAAAAAATAAAAATTTCATAAAATTTCAATGTTACAAAAAATGAACAAAGATAAAAACTAATTCAACCAAACTGTTTGCAAAAACGAAACTTATCAACTTAGTTTTTGTGTTGGGTTTTCTTGTGTTTTTGTGTAGTTTCTTTCAAAAACCACTCAAAGCTTAAAACTTTTCAAAAAAAATCTAATCTTTTATTTTTAGTATTTATGAATATTGTAAGATGATTAATATTTAATAGTTTTTCATTTCGAAGAATATATGTACATCAAGGCGTATGACTGTTAGGTAATTGAAAATGTATAAAGTATTTGCAGAAATTACACGAACATTTTAGATTTAATCAAAGTATGGTTAAGATTGTTTAATTATTTTTTTAAGAATTTGAATCATTTAAAAGTTAGAGATTATATAAATAAGATCAAATATTAAAACTGTAAGACAATATAAAAGAAGTTGTATAATATTCATAGTAAACACTGTTTGGTTGAAGATGGTTTCAGTAGTGTATTTGTATTATTTACCATTACCGATTTCCTGTTAGCGATAACAAACAAACCCAGATTATTCAGTAAATTTAAAGTCAACCACACTTGGATCAATTGCAGTTTAAGTTCTTCCGATTTAAAAAAAGATTAATTTTAAAAAGCAAATCATTTAGGCCCATTATG